AGAAGTTATGACAAATCCCTCTTTTTATGGCGAAGGATCGAAATTGGACGCCACGCCACGTGTACGCTGTTCGACGGAATGTCGTAAATACTTTTAATCATGAATGTCTTTAGATGGTCCAAAAGTCGATCTGATCAATTCCCTAGGAGTTTGTTCAAATACATCGTGTGCAAATCGCCAGAAATGACCGCTAAAATCCAAAAATGGCCGACTTCCTGTTTGGTTTGAGGTATGGGTCCAAGAGGCTTTTCTGCTTCTTTTATTAAGATACACATGCGTACCGATTTTTGTACGTGTCGACCTTACGCGTCTTGAGGGCTGATTCGGGGGGGCGGGGCTTAGCCATTTGGCGGCGCCCGTGCACGGGGACAATTGCATACCGGTATTTTCGCTACGTTTGAATTTTGTGCAATTTTCCCTGACTTTTTGAGCATGTTCCACCAGCAGGTCCAGATGAAATGAAGGCAGACATAATGTGTACAAAGGCTCCAGGTTAAATAACTTGAATGGGACACCCATTAGTGTCCTTGTTACTGTGTGTGCATGTGTGTGTGTGTGTGTGGTGCTTACTGTAAAAGTCTTGACATATTTGCTGAGCAGGTCGTCCACTACATCCTTAGGCAGCAGAGGCTCCAGCTGGTTTATGTCACACTCTGAGCGCAGCTCTGGATGGCCCATCATCTCCACACTGAAACACACACAAACATGGATTCTATGACTATAAATCAGCTCCATCTGCAGGTCCTTCATGGAACCTGTGAGCTAGTGGTAGCACACCATCTTTTCCTTAAAGGAATATTTAGTCATTTTGGGAAACACAGTTATTCAAGATGTGGACATATAAACAAAAAAATATTTTTCCACTATTATTTGAATATGACAATATTCCACATTTTGTGTAAACAGCATATTCCATTTGGGTATGGGGGCAGCTGTGGCTCAGGAGGTGGAGTGGGTCGTCAACTAATCGCAATGTTGGCGGTTCAATCCTTGACTCCTCCTGCTGAATGTCCTTGAGCAAGATACTGAACCACAAATTACTCAGAATGCTTTGTCATTGGTGTGTATGTGTGTGAATGAATGGTTTAGTTTCTGTTTGTGATGAGCCTTTGCTATCACTGTATGGGTAAATGTGTATAGTCAGTTACCATTTACCATATTCCTAATTAGGCCCAATTCAGAATGGAGCATTATTCAATTAAGACATGTGGGTGTAGAGGTGGGTGTTGTAGGAGAGAGAGAGGTGTGGGGATGACTTGTGAGAGCAGGGCCAGGTGAGTTGATGGAGTAGTGTGCTGGACCTGAGTTTGCTACTGCATATGAACCAGAGAGGATGTCTGGAGTTGATCGTGGCTGTTTTATCCTTCGAAATAGCCAGAAAGCTCAGTATTTGTGTTGACGGTGTGTGCGGCTGAGAAAATAATACATTTGTGTTAGTTTATTGATCTGTGGTGCTTGATTGTGTGCTGGGGGAACCCACAGTTTTAGAGGGACCTGCTACAGTGGGATACGCTGATATTATTCCAGGTTTTAGGAGCATCCTTTAGACATGCAGTCAGAATATGCATCTGTGTGTACCTTTTGTATGTGTTGAGGACCCAGGTTAGCAGGGACACAATCTCATTAGCCTCCAAGTCCTCAGAGGCCAGTTCTGTGACACGAATGGACACAGCATTGTGGTAGAGACTGAAAAACCTGAAACACACATACATACATTACATACATTACATACATACATACATACATACATGAGAGCGGAATGAATGTACAGCTGAATACATTTGACTTTTTCCAGGTTTTCCTCAGTTGGTCATGTTATTGACAAAATACATGGTTCAATAGATTGTTCTGGTGACACAGGTTTGATAGGAGTGGATCAGAATGTGGTTTCCATTTTACATTTTTTGAACATTCAACTGTACAAATCTGCTTTGAAAGTGGTAGGTTTAGTGGCCAGGCAAAAAACAAACAAAACAACAACCAATCTCCAGAGAGTGCCACCTACAGAAGTTCCCTGATGACTCGGCTGTATCACAGATGATACAGATGATAGGGAGGAGGAGTACAGAGACCTGATCCAGAACTTCACTAGATGGTGCGACAGAAACCACCTACAGCTCAACACAGGGAAAACCAAAGAGCTGGTGGTGGACTTCCGGCGGAGCAAGAGGACCCCCTCCCCAGTTGAGATTAGGGGGGAGAAGGTAGAGATGGTGGACACCTACAAGTTCCTGGGGGTGACACTCAACAATAAACTGGACTGGACGGACACATGAGACCCTCTACAAGAAAGGGACAGAGCAGGCTGTCTTTTCTTGAGGAGGCTCAGGTCCTTCAACGTGTGCTGCTGTGTGCAACTTAAATTTCTCCTACGGGGGATTAATAAAGGTATATCTCATCTTATCTTATCTTATCTTATTCTTCCGCACGATGGTTCATGATTGTGTGGCAGTTTCTGAGGTGTATCTAAAGGCCTGAAGTGATCTTTTAGCCAAACTATTGCAAGGATTACAGCTTTCAGTGTTCATGGATGGTTCATGTTTCTGTACTAATACCACATTGGTTGCAGGTTACACTGTTGTTGCTACAACGCCAGACATGTTGGAATTGGAAACATTGCTGTCGCAGCCGCTGTATGCTCCCCTTTTTGCACAAGCAGCAGAACTTAAGGCTTCAGCGGCAGCATGTCAATTAGGGAAAGGTAAATCCTGTAACATTTACACAGACTCAGTATATGTACACAACCTCAATGGCTATATGGAAGCAGAGAGGTTTCATGAGAGCAGATGAAAAACCATTGTCACATGGATCTCTTATTGCTGAGCTCCAAATGCAATGTCTTTGCCTGCATCATAAGCAGTAGTAAAATGTGCAGCTCATGGGTCATCCACAGACATGCTGCTGATGAATCTGCTAAACAGGCAGCAACATCCTCAGACCTCGATCACCTGCCCACACTAATGTACCAGGGGGATCTGTGATCCTACCATTTCATTGTGCACTCTAGGTACAGTCGACTGCTTCTGCAGAGGAAAAACAACTTTGGATTAACAGAGGTGTTGTTAAAGACTGCCCCACTGGACTTTGTTACGCCAAGGGGTTGTTAGTGGCCCCTGCATCTTTGATACCACAGCTGTTTGTTGTGTGTCCCATGCTCCCAAGGGGGAACCGCCAAGTGTTACAGAACATGGTAAAACCTGTACAAAAAACAAACAAAAGTTGGCAGATTCAACAACAAAGGCAAATGCCACAACAGTAGCGAAAATTTCTTTTCAGAGAAGTCATCCCTAGGTTCGGAATTCCTGATAAAATTAGCTACAATTATGGAACTAACTTTGACAATGCTGTAATGAGAAGGGAATGTCAATCACTAAGAATCAAACATAGGCTAGGGAGTGTGCCACCGAAAATTTTGGCCGAAAACCGAAAATGCGCATTTGGGCCATTTTCTCAAAATACTTTTATCACCGAAACAACACGGCCGAAACAGAAAGTTGTGATGACGCAAACAAAAACCGCGGCCAGCAACAACCGCTTGTCTGGATAAGCGGCAACCATGTCTGCGTGTGGACGATTCAAATATATCTGAGAAAGACCACGATAAGCGATTTGCAAAAACGTGTAATGCTGAAATTTTAAGAGTGTGCATCTGTAAAAGCTTCTCCCATGTCGGGTTTAATTTATCACCTGAAATCCAGAAACATCCTGATTGGCAGAAGAGAAGAAGAAGAATGTGGGCACCAGAAAAGGAAAATCAATCCGAGCACGCCCCACACCGTTCTGTGGCGACGTTTTTGAACCAAGGCAAGAAAAGTTTTCCAAGTGATGGTGCACTTTTACCTGAAGAAGTAGAATGGGCTTGTGTCTAAGTGTTTAAATATTTGTTTTCCACTTTGCACATCTGGCAATTCTGGTGTAATTTGTTGTTGGCATCTTTGTTTCTGATACACTGTTATGTTTGTAGGCCTACAGAGAAAATATTGGTCATATCTTTCCAGCAGTTGAAAGTCTTGTTCTATGCACTTTGTTGAAGTTAAGTTATTTTTATTGTGCATTGTTTGTAATGTCCAGTGCTAAAAAAATATTTTAATACTTTTGTAATGATTTAATTCTTTGAATTGCAGTGCTGATTTAGTGAGCGGTTAGTACACAGTCATAGCCATAAATGCAATGGTACTAATAATTGGCATAATAATTTATTTCGGTGTTTCGGTTTTCGGTTTTCGGCCTTGGTTTCCTCATTTTCGGTTTTCGGTTTCGGCCAAGAATTTTCATTTCGGTGCATCCCTAATAGCAGAAAAACATTAGCCAGTCAAACTTGATTTATGTAGCAGCTTTCATAAAGGTTAGTGCAGTTCAAAGTGCTTCACAGATGACTGACAAGCCGATAATAAGACAGAACACATGTCGAGTGAAATAAAAAGTAGATAATAAAATTAAAAAGAAATATATAAAGGAATATAGTTTCTGCTGAGATTTTCTTTTATCGACCGTGCTTGAGCACAACAAACACAAAAACCCTTCACCCCTATTGCATTGGGTGCAAGCATTGGTGCTAAAGATTGACCCATTTATTAGCCCGATATCTGCATATCACACGCTTGTTTTAGTCAACCTCACTGAGAGAGTGCCACACATTATTTGAAGAACTTGCTGGTGTTCCAGATTCCAGATTTTTTTAAATCTGAGATTAGAGGTCTGAAAATGATCCTTGCTTGCAACTGAATTACCACACAGTGATACATTTAATCAGCAATTACTTGAGTATTAAAGGTGACCAAATGGTGAGTGTGCTGAATCTCAGGTAGGTCTCTAGAAGGTGATTTTCATAAACCAGTGGCTGTGTGGAAGGCAGGAACCCAATCTAAACAGTGATGTTGTGGGAAATGGGTTAGCAGCAGTAAATTCTACATGATATGCAGCTGATGGGGTAAACCAGTACAGCCCTTTCAGCCCCACTGTGTCCAGTACATTATTCCACTGTGTGCTCTGTGTTCTAGGCCGCTGCTGTTTCAGACCAGCGAGCTGATAGCCAGCAGTCCAGCTGTGGGTGACCTGATCCCCTATAGCACCCTGCTCCACTTCCTCCTCACCAGAGCCCCGTCTGAGCTCAAGTCTCCTCATCAGGTCCGTACACACACAGTAATGTACAGTATGAACAGATCATTGATTGGACTGTCTGCAGTGCGTATCACTATAACAACTAAAAGAGCGTGTCCCCCCACCACAGAGAGCAGAGTGGTCCATCGCCCGTTACTCCCAGTGGCTGGATGATCACCCCTCTGAGAGAGACAGACTCACTCTCCTCAGGTAACCACCTTCTTCCTTCTGCAGGTCATCACAGGTTACATGCAGCTCCAAGGCTCAGACCTCATGTAGGAAATCAGTCCCAGCAACGTGATTCTAACTGTGCTCAGTGATCAGCCTCTAGTGGTCAACTGTGTGTTGTAAATACAGATGATTTCTGTTCTCAGTCAGCTGTTTGCTGCCCCGCAGGCAGTATGATGATGGACTTGCAGAGAGTGGAAGCTCGCTGTGTTGATAGCTGCTCACAGTGAACGAGTAGTTGATTTATATTTTTAGTCAGTTAGTGATTGCTGTGAGGTACTAACAGTAGAAAGTGCACATGACCACACAACAACATAACTTCCATGACAGTGACTGAGTATGTTTACTTCCACATCTATTTTAATTTTCTGTTGTTTCATTCCTGCAGAGGGAAATATTCCACTGCTTTCACTTAAAGCTCCAGTGTGTAACATTTATGTGATCTGTTGTCAGAAATGTAATATAATATTAATACCTTTGTTTTCATTAGTGTATAATCACCTGAAAATAACAATTTTACCTTAGAATGAGCAGCTCCTCTTCTATGTAGTCCACCGTGTTTCTACAGTAGGACTAACCATACACTGGTTTTAAATGTTAAATGGACCTGTACAGCGCCTTTCTAGTCTTCCGACCACTCAAAGTGGTTTTACACTACGTGCCATTCACCCTTTCACACCACAGTTCACACAGCGATCACATCTGGGGTTCAGTAATCAATTGCTCCAATGATACTCTTAGACATGTGGCTGGAGGAGCGCGGGAAGATGGAACCAACAACCTTCCTGATTAGGGGACGACCCGCTCTGCACCCCAGCCTTGTGCGTTTTTCATAGCCACTGTAGTTTCTCTTACATGCTTGGAAGATGAGCTATAATCAACTGGACACACTGGTCCTTTAACTGCTGTAGTTGTGGTATTTTTCAGGTAAAGATTTTCTTGAAAGAACACTATCAGCTTATAAAACATGATGCACTGCCACAGACTGAACTACCTAACATTTGGTATTGCTAGTTTGATGTCAATACTTCAACTATGTCAGTTGTAAAAAGACATTAGATTTGATTATTAATTGCTCACATGAACTCATTATGTGTCTGAAGGTTTTGAGCTGGTTGTTTACTGTAACTGAGCACTTGCACACACAGCACCATCATCAGGACAGATCCTGTTTATATCATTGTGGGGTGTAACTGAACTGTTTCCTCTCTGTACTCTAAGGGGCGCTCTGGAGGCCTATGTGCAGTCAGTGAGGGCTCGGCAGGGGAAGGAGTTTGCTCCCATCTATCCCATCATGCTCCAGTTGTTACAGAGAGCAACCAGCGGCTCACAGTAGGTCAGAGCCTGAGGACGACCACACGGCTGTAATACATGTCTGCAGAGGATCAGGTTTAGCTCTATGCACACTACATAATGCCACCTTTATTATTTATAACTAGAGCAGCTAAATGGAACTGATCGGTCTTATTTGGCTCAATCAAGGGGAATGTATGTGAAAGATTTGAGTTCTGAGAATTCTGACTTTGAACTCACAACTCAAATTAAATATTTTCATGTGGGTTAGTTATGAGGTTTGAGTATCCGACAACAGTTCAATTCGGATTCTATGTAGAGGATTTGGGCCACATGTGAGAGTCTGAAGACAGAATACTGGGCTTAAGGTCAGAGTTATGACTTTATTCTCAGGAAACCAATACATTTTTCACATGTGCCCCACACACACACACACACACACACACGTGTCTGATCCTTGATAAGTTGGAGAAGAAATGGGGAAATATCTGCAGGACTTTAATATTTGTACAGCACTTCATTAGAAGCAGAGTATGACAGTATAGACAGGTGCATTCAGATAGGCCATTTCCATTGGTTGGGTGGAGGTTCCTCCACCAGCGGCTCCCATGGTTTCCACTCTGACATCTTCCTGGACAGAGCCAGCTCACACTCCGCCTGCACACAGGAGCACACTTTCATTAACACTCATCCCGGGACTGGATGAACACAAACACAACCAGGCTCGCGGTTTCCCCCTGCTCCCTGTGGCTCTGTATAAGAACATTCTGAAAGCAGCCATTTTGACAGGAAATGGTGAACACAGGTGTGACATTGATACTAATGAAGGAACAGAACAGGTCTATAGCCGAGGTTAACTTTGTGCTTCAACTTCCCAGGAAAGTGTTTGAAGCTGCAGTAGGTGACGTTTACAGAAACAACCAATCAGAGCCAAGAAAGATAGTTGACTGAGTCCCAAAACAGCTGTATGATGTCCGGGGAACTCATCTTTGTTTCTGTGAAAAAGGCCTGTGTTGTTTTTGTTTACATACGGTGGATTCTTGCAAATACCTTAAGGAGCGTCCTACTACTAATATAGTAAAGTATCACTAAAGGTTACCTACTGCAGGTTACCTACTGCAGCTTCAATGTGAGATGTAAATGTTTGATTGGAATTTTGATGCATTTGTTGAAATAAAAATCATGTTTATTACCAATATGTCAATAGTTCTTTTCCATTATTGAATGACCTGCATGTGAACTATTTAATAGATGCCAGAAGTATGAGGATAATTAGCCCAACAGTTGTAATGTGACCATCATGAAGACAAACTGGTTACGTAATGACAGTGACCTACCTGGAAAATGACTTCTTCAATCTGCCCACAGTTTATCTTCTGCTCCAGCTTCTCCACATCAGGCTCCTGTGAACAGAGGCAGCATGGCCATGTGTTGAGTCTCTCTTCTTTTTAAATTCATTTTACTAATGAGTTTCACAAAACATAATAAAATGCACACACTAACTTTATAGTATCACATGCAGAGCTGCAACAATTAGTCAACTACCGAATTAACTGCCAACTATTAATCAGGGTTCCTAGACATTTGAGTACAAACCGCTGTTTATCATGTGACTAATGATTTCATAGTCCAACTGTTAACACATTCATTCTGACGATTACAGCTTCTTTTTAGAAAACATCACAGGGGCAACAGTAAAATATGCAAATGGTAAAAATGTTTCTTTCTTATCACACTTATCCTGAAAGTTACCAAATTCTAATTCCTGGATAGTTCATTCATTTTAGTATTTTTATTTATTTATTTTAATAAAGAAAGTTTCTCAGATGTGCATATGTTCTGCTTTCTTTAGTCCTCTGTAACAGTGAACAGAATATCTTTGGGTTGTGGACAAAGCGTCGCTTTGGAAACACTGATCAACATTTTCACGAGACAGAACAGCACAAACTGAACTGGTTGAAACCTAACTTTTAATATTTGGTTGTTATTTAAAACTATGTCTATATACAGATATGTGGGATTATTTGTCACAGGTTCATCTCCTCACTAACTCCACTCCTGTGAGTATGACCACGGTATTTCATGGTGGCAGTCATCCATCTTAACGCAGCTTGAAGAGAGCCACAGTGAGCTCTTCCTCACTCACCGTTTTGACGTGGCTGAACCTCTCGTTGACCAGCTGCTCTGTGTACTTCCTGTAGGCTGCGTCCTGTGGCATGGTCTGCACCAATGTCAGGATCTTGGAGTACAGAATCCTCAGACGCTGAGGGAGAACCAGAGCGGGTTAGCTGCTGAATGAACAACGTCAGTTCATCAATTATCACTAAATATTATAATAATAGGTGATTATAAAAATTTTATTCATTATCATGGCTCTTATTACCATTAGTCATATTATTTTTATTATTAGTCATAATTATATCATTTGTGGACTTTTACGGACCCAAAAACTAATTAATGGATAAAATGATGAACAGATGAATGAATGAAATAATTGCTGGCATTTGTGTGTGGTGCATTCACTGTCTGCAGCTCACCTCATGTGGAGTGTGGCACACTGCCAGGCCGACCAGGCCCGTCGTCTGGAAAAGAACATCAGGAGAGACACTTGAGATTATCCTTCACTTCACCAACCTCACACTTCATCCTGATCAATACTTAGTTTTCCCAAGTACCCCACAATGTTCATTCACTGCTGTAAACACACACTCAGCTACTGGAACAGTTAAAGGCCTGAGTAGATCACTTTATATGATCACACACACACACACACACACACACACAAGGTCGAGTGGTTTGTGCAGTGGCACCATGACACAGCTTACTTAACATGAGTCTTATTTCAGCAGTACAATAGCCAGAATATGACATATGCTAGCTACAGAGGCTGTGTGTGAGACTTCATATAAATGTACTTTAAAGCTCTGGATTTGGGTTTTACTTGTTTCTGAAACCTTCAAATGTAGAAAGATTTCCAGCATTTACAACCACTTTTAACAGTGCACACACTTTAAAAAGCTCAATAACAGAGCAAAACCAATTACATTAAAGATTCCCTTCAGACATGTATTACCACACAATATACATATATACATACAAATAGTCTGCCTAGAACAGTAATGTGTGTCTGATTTTTTCCTGTAGAAAAAGGTATTATATCTTTACCTCATTAGGTCTTTAAAATGTAAAACTTCCAGAATCTCTGAACATACAAATGTTGTTCATTTCTAAAGTTTTCCTGCTGGACACAAAATGTCTCCTACTGCACTGTAAAGTCCATTCTCAGTGGATGTGCACTGTTGGCTTCAAGTTTCTATTATTTTTATGAAAATTGGGACATTTTTCAATAGCATTTATGTCATGTGACCCAGGGATTCAAAATCAATGCCAATTACTACACCAGACAAATAGGACACACCTGACAACACTCTAAAGCATCCCCTGCTTTATGGTCTATTCTATGGACCATCAGTTACTGAATGAACATCATGCTGTTTGGAAGAGGACTGGAACCAGAAACTCATCAGGAAACGGTTTCCCTGGGTCCATGACATGGAAGACAAAATAAACCTAAACTTATTTGTTGATATAATTATGAAAAGACATGAATATAGATTACAATAAAAACTGAAATCCATTAAAAAGAGGGGTTTCCTATTAGTGCAGAGTAATACAATAATTTGCCATTGATTTGGAGTCACAGTACACTGTCATTGAAGCTACTGAAAGATAACCTGATAGATTTGTATAGAATAATCATGAAACCGAAGATGCAGGTTTATCGATCCACCGGCTCACGAGCGGACAGTGATGGGCTGATTGATGATGAGGTTCACACAGATGGACGCAACCATGTTATCAGCTACGGCTGCTGTGACAGTTCAATATGTTCTCCATGAAACAACCCAACATACGATAACGCTAACAGACAGGACAGGTTTAAACACTTTACAGTACTGAGTTTCATTTTCAGTTCATTTTCCCCAAATGCAATTCAACTATTTGCTAATAAGCTAGCTACGTTAAGTGAAGGGGAATAACAGAGTAGCTAGCCACAGTAACAAGTTAGCCAACCCCACTGCTCCCACCATCCGGGTTTATATTCAGTGATATATAACGCTGTGAATACATTATCAGCTAAATGTTATTGTTGTATGTCAACCTTTAACACTGCCTGTAGCAGGCACACTGCTAAGAGCTAACGTTAGCTCGCACATCGTCCACCGTCACACAGTGCGCTGCAAACAGCACTCCATTAATGATACTTCATATTATTAGAATATTAAATATCTTCCTATCACTAAAACAAAACGTGACCTCTACTCGTACCTTCTTCAGCAGCCCGGCCATTCTCCTCAGCGGACAGCGATATCCGGCCACTCGATATGACGTCAGCGGTTAGTTGAGTGACACGAGCAGGGTACAACCTTTGTCTCAGTGTGCCTTTTATACAGTGTCCATGGATTCAACGCGTTTCCATAGAGATACTGACATGAGACATATTAATGATTCAAATGTAAAAAAAACAACTGTTTTCAATGTCTTACTCAGATTGTCAGATATGTCAAAAAGAAGCTGAAGATTAATTTCATCAATTTAGGATTCACTGAAAACTAGAGAGTTTTTAGCATTCTATAATACACACAGCACCGACAGCACGGCTCCCTCTACTGTCCCGTCCACTTTTTCAGAGGAACGATTGGAGTTGGGCCCGTTCAATATTTTTTTATTTTTGGGGCTTTTATTGCCTTTATGATAGTGACAGCTGAAGATAGACAGGGGAGGGGTAGAGAGAGAGGGGGGATGACACGCAGCAAAGGGCCGCAGGTCGGATTCAGACCCTGCGCTACTGCAGCAAGGACTGAGCCTCAGTACATGCCAGCTCTACCCAATGAGCTAACCGGGGGCCCCCAATATTCTTAATTTAACCCATTATACATATATTTAAAAATGTTGATCTTCCTAATTTAGTTCCACATTTGACTGGGTTTACATTATAGCCCAAAGACACAGAGAGCTGGTCTGAATCTGTCAGTAGCACACTTCTGTCAAACAACTGCCATGGTCCCAGAGTACTTTTATGGTAGAACACTGAGACCTTGTGAAAATGAAAATTGGATTTGCGTTCTTACAATGTCAGGTATGTTTACAGGGGACATGAATCAGCCCTGGTTGTTGCTGTACAAGAACTAGGAATGTAATGATATTCTCAACACTCAATACAACTGAAGATACTGGGTAATGATATTCTCAACACTCAATACAACTGAAGATACTGGGTTCACAGTATCTTCTCATGAACCAAAACAAAGTACAACTAGAATCTTTATTTCTGAGGTAAGGTATAAACTGTACAAGACAATGCTGATTTCTTTTTATGAAGTGAAACTCAAGTCTTAGCACCTTGGTACCACGATTGATATCAGGATTCATCTTCACATTTGTACATTTTGTATCGTATTCACACCTGAGTCAAACTCATTCGCACACAAATGCTGTACTGTTTGTTTGCAAATTGTGAAGAGAGCATTTGTAGAAATTAATTGAATTGAGTAAATTGTAAATTTGTAAAGTCAAATTTCTGAAAACAAATACAAAAAGAGTATGACCCATTGCATTGATTCAAATTCTTGTTTTCTATTGGTGGATTGTGTTTTGTGTTTACAACAAGTAAAATATATTTCTGCCTCATGGTCTGCTATTACAATGATATTGACATCTATCTACCTCCATAAACACCAGCTAGCAGGTAAAGACTTGAGGCTGAGTGGTTGGAAAAGTTTAATGACATTAAACCAGAGCAATGCCAGCTATATTCACATGACCATCATTATCAGTTTTTAAAACTTCTATTTTAAAAATGTTTGGCTGAAAAAAGACATCTATCTACAGTCCAGTAAAAAAATTCAAAGTATAAAAATATATTACAAATCTCAAGTATTTACAAAGACAGCGTCTCTCTACACGTGTGTCTAACTGTCTACAGTTACACTTCTGTCAGTTAGTTCTCACTATGGTTGTTACCTAAAACAAGCAACATCTCCCCCTACATGTCCTCAGTAAACTCAGCACCTAATGGACAAACACTGGAGGCCTCAGACAGCCATGACAAGTAAGTCACTAAACTCCCAGCATCCTCTGGGAGAGGGAGTAGAGTAGAAGAGGCAGAGATGAAGACGATCCTCCTCCTCGAGGTTGGATTAGCAGGAAGTGACAGTGGAGTTCCTCTGGGGGTGGTTAGAAGAACATCCTGAGGGAGAGAAAACATTCAGATATATTGTACTGTTTTTTACCAACATCAAAAGTCACTCACACACACGCACACACAGACACACACACAGACACACACCTGTAGATGTTGGGGTCCAGGAGTACAGCTGTGTCTGTGGGTAGCTTGGACAGATGAACCACCTTGGTCTTCTGCTGCAGTCTGTCACTCTCATTCACCCACACATCTGGCAGTCTGACGCAGTGAAGAATACAGTTACTGGGCACATCTGCACCGTGGATCCCAAGATCACACTCACTTTGTTTCTCCTCACACATGACATACTGAGGTTTATTTGTCAGTGTCAGCAGTGGAGAGCTGCTTTTTAACCAGGACCAGACTTTGCCTAGGTGGCTCCCTACGCTGAATTACAAAAATTGAGTGGCTCGATCTCATGTTGTTGAACCCTTTAATAGCAGCAGCTTAATGAAACTCCTGTCAGTGTCTTTTAGTGGTGGAAAGATCACTGAATATCTGTACTCAAGCAGAAGTACTGTTACATTACTAAAAAATGTAAAAAAAAAAAAATCAACTACAGGTAAAACTACTGCTGTTAGAATAACTTAAATAAATGTATTCTTCAAAAACTACACGGAGTATTAGTTACTTTTTTAGTCTTCATTTTTTTGCCTTTATTTGATAGAGATGGCTGGGTAGAAGCAGGAAGGGGGGGCAGAGAGAGAGAGGGGACGACATGCAGCAAAGGTCGGACTCGAACCCAGGCCGCTGCATATATGGGTCTCCAGCTCTACCGACTGAGCTAACCGGGGGCCCGTATTCGTTACTTTTTAACAGATAATGTTTAATGTATTATCAATAGGGGAGATCCATGTAAAAAATATCAACTTTTAACAAAGCACATTTCTTCAGAAGCCCCTCCAAAGCACCCAGCAGAAGTGCCCTCTGGGGTGCCCTACGGTAGATAAAGGTCCAGTGGAGAAGAGACGTTAAAGAGCCCCCGTAGGGGGTGATAATCCTAATCGTGACTAAGCTGTTTCACCATAAATGGGTCACAACTTTCTGCTCGATGGTGCCCCTCAAACAGCCTGAGACTGACCTCTCCGAACCTGAGCCTGACGGCAACATAAAGCAGTGAAAATATTCTAAATATAGTGTACACTTAAACTGATAGTTTTTTTAATGTGGCTAAAATCCATTTTGTTGCTGCCCCCGTCCACAGCAGTACGTTGCCTAACTTTTGTGCTGCTTGTCCAATCTGCTTCTCTAAACTGGGGGTGCACTGACTGCTGTTTATTGTAGGTTATACACTGAATATGGATAAGAACCTCATACAACCCCAGTTTTATAAATCCAGACTAACCCTTTAAGGACTTCAAACATTCTAAAACCTGCTGTGAACGACATTACTGCTAAGAATCAGTTACTAATCCTGCACAGTACAGACCTGAAGGAGGGTTTTAAATGTTGTACTTGGATGTTCATTTGTATCTAAGATCATCTCTGCAACTGGAACTGACTCATTAACTCATCATGTAATCTGATCTAATCTGACCTGTTATTCTGTTTCACTTCCAAAAGAGGGTGAGAGTAGCAGATCAGGTGGAGGAGGTGAAAAGAGGAGCTGGACTTACATGTCTTCAGGTGTCCAGTGCAACAAGACCTTCACTTTCCCAGAGTCCTCTGTCCTCCTGGCTATTACCTGAACACACAGACACAGGCATGAAAATAAGCTAATGCTCTGCTGCACAGAATGACATATACTGGCTGGCTAATGTGTGTATGTGTTATTGTGATGTGTGGTGGTGTATGGCTTTTCGTGTTGTGTGGTGTTGTTATTGTTATTGTGTTGTGTGGTGTGTATGTGTATTGCTGTGTGTGTGTGTTGTATGTGTTATTGTGTGTTGTGTGTGTAATGTGCTTAGTTGTGCCTGTGTGTGCTGGTGTATGTGTTATTGGTGTGTGTGTGTGTGTGATCACTGTGTTATTGTGGCGTGTGTTTGTGTGCGTGTATCGTGTTATTGTGTGTTGTTGTGTGTGTGCTTGTCTCGTTATTGTGTGTGTGGTGGTGTGTGTATGTGTGTCATTGTGTTTTTGTTGTGTGTGTATGTGTTAATTGTGTGTGTGGTGTGTGTGTGCGTATGTGTTATTGTGTTTGTGTGGCTGTGCTGTGTGTGTGTGTGTGTGTGTGTGTGGTGTTGTGTCGGTGGGTTGTGTGTGTGTGTGTGTGTTGTGTGTGTGTGATGTGTGTGTAACGGCCTGTGGAAACACCACGAACACGCCTGCTCGTCCGCTCCTGCCCAAGGTCGATTGGTGTGTTCCGGGTCCTTTTGCAAGGGCAGATGGCCTCGCATGGCAGGGCATGCGTCCATCTGGTCTGACGCGAAGATCGCTGGAGGTCGGGCTGCGAAATAAAAACAAGAGAAGCAAACAGAATGTGTCGTGGAGGCGATGTCGAGGTTTTTCTACCTCACAACACCTGGAACCAAACTGTGACAATATTCAGCCAGAGAACAGGCACAGTGTGGTGTCTGTCGGGTGTGTGCTGTGGTGTGTTTGAACCATACGGAGGGAGCCGCTGTGTTGTGTTCTTTGAGTTCTCTCTTGTTGAGCGGCCTGGACGGAAGACTTCCTCCCTTTACTTTTGCCCTGCATTGGTACACAGTCGTTGGAACGAAACCCTGTGAGCTGAAGTGGGGTTGGGAACGGACGGGCGACGCCCCCCTGAGACGGCAACATGTGGCGTTGCAAGCCTCCCACACGAAGCGCACGCCACGGAGCAACAGAGAGGATTAACAGGTGGTCAGGTGGGGGTGAAGCAGTTGTGGTCAGGGACTTTGAATTGGTTGGTGTGCTGTGTGGGCTCACCCCTTCGCAACTGGCTTGTCCCCGCTGTGGGTCCAGCATTGTTCTGCAGCCAGCTCTGACTGGGTGGCACGGCGGGTGTTTGTACATCCTTGCAAGCCTTCCACAGAACACCACAAACACCTGAAGTGGGAACACACACAGACAGGAGTGTCTGGTGGATTTACGTGTCAGTAGGTCGCGTGAAACAGAAAGGAGGCCCCCGCTTTCAACCAGCTGGGGTCTCTTTCTTCAATTTATAAATTGAATCAACCCACTCGACCACGTTGCGGCGGTGTCCCTATGTGTGAGAATTGTGTTATTCAACCCCCGGCATGGGTCTATATGTCTCAACAGCAGTGGAAACACCCAAACCACCAAATGTTTCAGAAGGAACTTTTACTTCCTCGTGTAGTTTCTGAGATTTTAGCTGCTCTGATTCAGTGGTATTGCCAGTACATCCTGCACACGGTGCAGAAGCCGGTGCCGGGGGCCGTGGATGACCGAGCGGCGTCAAAAAATACAGAGTCCGACAAAGTTGGAAATGAATGTGCTTTATGAAAGGGAAGGAGTTTGACCATTGATCCACTTACAAGATTTCCATTGAGATTCGTCGCATCTGAGTTATTTAACACCTTTTATTGGTAGAATGCGTTTTGATAAAAAAAGAAATATGTTCAACTTAAGCTTGACTAAACCTCATCTGTTGTCGTCGTCACAGTAAAAAGTGGGACCGCTCCTCCCTCACCCCCCCAAGCGTCAAAAAAGGAAAGTTTCCCAATGTTTCATAAAATCAATTTTCCGGGCCTTTTCGCTGACCATTGGACACGCAACTTGCTCATCAGTGGTGACATTTATCGGGAACACTTGGGCCTTTCACTCGGCCTCGTATGACCTTGCACTGTTTGTCCGAATCTCTAGCATTTTTTGTAATTTTAAAAAAGTTAATATATATGCTGATGTATTACCCCCACCTGATGGGAAAGAAAGGTTGGCTGTAGTTGAGTAAGAGACCTGTTTGATGAACATCACTATTGATACACAACCCATAGGTTCTGACCTTTCAAAATATTCCGTGTGAAGTGCAGTCAGTCGATCTCCTCCTCTCTTCTTCCTCCACCAACACCTAGAGCCGAAGGAATCTGTCCTAAGGTTTCTGCCATGTTAAAAAGGCAGTTTCCTTGCCCCCGTCTCCAGGGTCTTGCTCATGGTGGGTACCTGTTGGCGTCTCTGTAAAATTGTGTAAAAGGCATTCGGCTGTCTAGACCTGCTCCTTATTGAAAAGCTGTCCTGCGATAATCATACAAGCCAATTTAATTCGGTTGCAGCTCTAGTAAGAAAGAACAAACCTTCAGTCCTCGGCTCTGAGTCACCATCTTACAAATATGCCTTCGGTTCTTTCCCAAGCATTCAGATGTCACAAGTAAAAGTCTGTCCATTCATTGCAATTAAACTCACATTACCAATCTCACAGATGCTCTCCCAGTGGCCCACCACCTTGCATTCACAACTTGCAAACGACACACACGACACACACACCACACACACCACACAACACAACACCACACCACAACACACCACACACACACAGAGCCGGAGAAACTCACCCCCCTTCCCTCTGTTCGACGCCAACATCCGCGTTGCTCCTGAATTGTGTTCCTGCTAGGGTCGGCTGCTGGAAACAGGAGCGGCAGTGGTCCCAGCAGCAATCGTGCAAGCTCAAGAGACTTGCCCCTGCAGGTGCCCACAGCCAACCTCCCCGCCCCAACGACGCCCCGCCGCCGTGACCCGATCTGACCATGGGCTGGGGTGGAAGCGGCCCGCTGGACGCCGTGCTCCATGTCCATCAGGGTGCTGCCAATACTGGAGAATACACAGCAGAAGGAGACCAGATAGAAGATTCACACACTGCTTTCCTTTTTCTTTGGAACAAATTCAATTTTGAACGTTTCAAAATCTTTAATTTAAACAAATGTACCAGTCTATAACAGCACAACAAGCATTTTGAAGTAGTTTCCGGCCCTTGTGGTCCAGCAAGAGGGCGCACTCCAACTATCGGGAGCTTGACTCTATGGGCATTGCCTGTTGCCCTGTCAGCGTAAGCAAGGTTATCATTATGCTGTCCCTCTCTCGGAAACTTTGGAGTCTGTGGTGGTTACAAGCCAGCAATCCCAATCCCTAATCCTCACGCCCTCTAATTCCTGCTTTTACATAGTGTATGACAAAATGATCCATGTTGGTAACTGGGCAAAAACAACCTACACAATTCAGAATCTTAATATTAATTGGAGAATCACAATATGTCACAGTGCAATATTAATCACAGAACTGCAGGTTTTTTTGATAAAAAGGTCCTGTAAAGGTGGAACTAGCCCAGCCATTATAATAAATAGTTGACTGTCACGTGCTGCAGAGGTGTCCAGACCTACAAGTTCTGCGTTCTCCAGAGAGAAAACACAATTGTTCTGTTTGGTGAAGGACCCCAAAACAAACGGGGGCGCTGTGGTTAGCTGGTTTGAGCCCCGGCCCTTCCTCCCTGCCGCATGTCGAAGTACCTTGAGCAGATACATCGCGAAACCCCCAAATTGGGTCCCCCATTCGTTGTTTGTGTGAAATGTGGCATGAATGAGTTTCTGTTTGATAGAGTTTTTAACTTATCCTCACCTCAGTGTGGAAAGGGTTGAATGCTGGCACGTATGTGAACAGGCTCTGAGCTGGTCACCGAGAGGCGCTATAAAAGTGACAGGGGCCCATTCTACCATTTACCATTAACAAATGTCAAAATCGTCCAATCGCTTTTTTCCAGGAAAAATTAATTTGTGATACAAAAATTATCATGTGTCCTACCACTTTGAATCAATATCGCAATAACATCAAAATAACTTCAATAGGGATTTTTTCCTTCTACCATACCATGTACCGAAACAAAAGAAAACATTATCCCGCCGCCGATTGCTACACACAAGCACCAGCCGTGGCCAGCTCTGACATTCTACACTAAACATAAAACATAAATTCGATGACACATTTTACATGAAGTAAAGTCAGATGACAAGAAGTCAAAGGTACATGACAATGAGCTTTCAGTCCAGTCACGGTTCTTCTACCCGTTCTTACCTGTACTCAGAAAGACAACAGTTTGGGGAACCAGGCGGCGTTTGACAAGTACTGGCTGCATATTATACAGGTAAAAACACATAGTATTGATAGTTTGACAGATACTTTGCGTTTACGGATTCCATTAAGATTAATGATGGATAATCCGACCATTTTTTGGCATCGACAGAATGTTTTGATTTTTGAAAAACTGATGTGAGCAGTTTGGTTGGGGTCGACACCGAAACAAAAACGATGTTTTCTTTAATATCCACGGATAGGATTTGTGGTCGGCCATCCTCTGCAAGAAAATACAACGTATAACGCGTTTTAGTATTGTGATTTCTATTACTATTGGATTAATTGTGCAGCCCTAATTTTGCGAGGCACCAGTGTGTTTTTAGCTTAACTACCATAACGTCATGTAAGAAAAACTGTGTTTCCAGGCAGCTTTCAAAGGTGCTCGCCAATAACATACAAAACACATCCATCTTAAAATGGCTCAAACTGTGTGACTGATAAGCAGATTTCAACAGCTTGCCAATAGTGCCTTGCCAAGTGTGTGTTGTGTGTGTGTGTGTTGTTGTTGCTGCTGAGAGTGTGTGAGTGTGACGTGGTGTGTGGGCTGAGCCAGCTGACCATCTGCTCTGATCAATGTCCATACAGGCTCACTATGGGGGCCGTGCTTACACATCCTACAAGAGCACTTGTCTCTCTCTCTCTGTCTCTCAGCTGCCACCTGCTCTGTGTGAGAACAAAAGTTACAGTGAAGTCTTACAGCTGCCACAACAGCAGGATTACCAAACATTGGGAGGCAGCCAAGTGGGCATTAAAGCAGGCAGTGGATTATATTCTATTTTCATGAGACTACAGAGTTCCTCTCCTGTGCGTTAACTAAACACTGTTCAAACGCTCCAATTAAAGCCTCAAACACTATGTGGCTGTCTGATGAAATAGCCTAAGTGGACTCCACCAGCCACAGTGGATAAAAACATCCAGAGCAAATACGTTGTTTTTCAAATATGTTTGTGTGATTTATGTTCAACACCTGCAAACAGGTGCCAACAGTACGTCAATCAATACAATAAAACAAAAACTAGCTACTGTCAAGAAATCAGTTAGAAAGTGGTTGGTGAAGTCAATGAAAAAACTCTGTAAATGAAAAAACAGTGTACAGGTGGCATGAAGCCTCCTCTCTCAGTTTAGTGTGTTCATTCAGGTTTACAGCCTTTTACATCATGAGCTGAGGAGTAGGACTTCCATCCCCACTTGGTTACATGATTATGAAAGAGTTTAGATATGCTTCATTGGAGATGAGTTTCATATTCCCTGTAAAGCTGACGAGGAGAGCAATGTGAGATATGAATCTGAATATACTGGTTGAACACGCACTGCAGATTCATCTACTTCATGTGGAATCATCTGGAACTACAGCGTGTCCAACCAGTCACATTAATACTGAAATGTTTCTGTGCCATACTCTTCCAGAGGACGTTAAAGCATGTAACCAGTGGAACCAGTAAACAGTCCACACTATTAGAAGAGACAGAAAATGAAATCAAATAGTTGGACTTGGCAAATATGCACTTCCTTGTACTGTGAACGTTAGATGAGAAGATGGACACCACTATCGCTTCTATTTCTAATGAATTCAGTGAGCTAGATGAAAATAGCAGTCGTGGCTGACATGTAACGTTAGCTAATTCTTGTGACAAATTCCCTTGCCAAAGTACATCCACTAAAAGTGCTAATTTTTGTCCCCGACTGTCCTCAGACTGGTGTCTGACAGCATAATGGAAAGGATTCCTACAGAGATAGACCTTTTGTTTAACCAGAAACAGCTGGAATATCACTATTACTCTCCACCAGCCTCCATAGACAAAAACAGTGATTTTACCTTGCATATGATTCTAACATCATAACTTCATTCAAAGTGGACAGAAACAAAATAAAACTCTCCAACTCTGGTTTGGTTGCAATAAATCTTAATTCACAGACGCAGTTTCAGTCCCTCTACTCAGATGCAAACGCAGGGACTCAAATACACAACGCAGTCAGAGTGTGACGTCATTCTCTGCTCAGGACACCCTGACTGTACTATGTCTATGTACTCGTCTTAGTCACAGGGCAATCTGCCTCTCTGTATCTTTCACTGGTAAAAGCTTATAGTAGGTGGCAGCCTAGTTTTCAGGCGCAATGACTCAACAGCTGATATCAAACCTGAGTCAAGCTTCACATGTCAAGCTTTTGGTTTAACTGGTATTTCCAACCGGAGGGGACAGGCCTGATTGGAACATTTCCTTCCAGACATTTAGCATTATCGTTTCATCAACATTCACAGCAACTGCCACTAATGCTTCAAATAACAATTCTGACTCATTTCCAGTGTTTGCTGATGGAAACATAGAGGAAGCTAGTGAAAACTCCAGCAAGAATGGGACGACTAGCGGTGGTGCCTCCAGTGATCCAAAGCAGACGTACAAACACTGAGCGGTTACTCATTCTGCTAATAAGCAGCAGTGTAGGTGTGCACAGTTTCACAACAGTGTTAATACATAAACAACAGTCGTGCCAACAAGGAGAGACATAACTAAACTGAGTGTGGTTAGATGAGTTATGGCGAAGCTTCAGGATTCAGCTCACAGCATCACAACTACACTCTGAATGATTCACAGTTTCAATCTGTTACAGGAGCCTCCGGGGGAAGTTCACTTTCTAATGAATCGAGAGAAAAGAAAAATGGGGGTGGGGGAACAGAAACAGCCCCTTTCACACCCTCAACCCATTATTTTCAATAACCAGATTATGGTTATTGACTTAAATGTGCTACAAAGAGCTTTTAACTGGTTATGGAACAATACTGATGCCTCTATATGGCCTACATATACAAACAACAACATCAGAGAGCAGATTGGCTATTTCTATATAGTTCTTCTTAATGCCTACAACCAGGTGGGATTCCTTGAAATCAGACGGAACGAGGTGGTAGAAACACTACCGTTTTGTCCACAGGGGCCGCCAGAATCGACACAAAATGAAAGCTCCTTGTAGTTGCTCCAAGTCAAAAATGAACTGAGGTGAGGGCATTATACAGATTAGAGCCCAGCCGATTTATCGGTTAGCAGACATCATCGGCCGATTTTTGGCCTATCGCAGACATATCAATGGGGAGGGAGGGGGATCTATAAGCGTAAAGAAGCCTGTCGAGACTTTTTCGGGGTGTCGTCTTAGAAAGCAGTATCCATCCTTTTCATTGTCGATTAAACTGTCGGTCATTTGCTCTGTGAAATGTCAGAAAATGGTGATACATGATAATCAGTGTTTCCCAAAGCAATGTCCTCAAATGTTTTGTCCACAACCCAAAGATATTCAGTTTACTGTCATAGATGACTAAAGAAAGCAGAACATACCCACAATTTGAGAAGCTGAGAAAAATTGGGAATTTTTTTCTTTCAACAATGACTCAATTATCCAAATAGTTGGAAATGAATTAAAAAGTTGACAACTAATTGATTAATCGCTACAGCTCTGGATTGCACTGTGAGGTAATGGTTCTCACAGTACAATAGCTGCATATTAGATAATGATTTTGTTTGTCTGTTTTGATCAAATACAGCACTTCCCTACAAACATTTGTGCTACTATGAACTAAATGATGCACGTTGACATCGAATGGATGTTCATACACCAACATGCATTCTAGTCTTCTGCAGTTTGTAATTATATTGTTCTAGGGGGTTTATGAAATTGCATCGTTACAATGCTTAAACCTCTTCATGAAAGACAGAGCAGCAGGTTTAACTTGCCCATTACGTGTAGAGCACACAGTTGCTACTGTTTCTGTGTGAGAGCATATTCACATTTGAGAAGCTGAAATAAGAGATTTTTCTTTCTTCAAAACACTTGATTATCAGTTTGCAATTAATTTAACAGTTGAGAACTAATTGGTTAATATTGGGGTTCTGTACTGCTAGTGTTGGATATTGTTCTGTTAACTGTCAAAATGTATTAACAGCGTGTTTAAAAAAGAAAGAAAATTATACTAGAAAATTCACTTCCTCTTTGAGCAGTTTCATTTTTGCCGTCTGGCCTTCAATGGCTTTATCTGTAACTGATGCTTTATATGCTCTTTTATATGTGCTTTACGTGTGTCCCATATTTATTGATGGCGATTCTGTATTTGATTATTCTGCTGCTTGATTTTACTTATCCTTGTTTTGTCAGTACTTAGAAAAATGATTCATCTGAATGCAAGTGAAAAAACAACAACTGTTTACTGATTAAGTCAATTTCTCCCTGTGTGTGGATGCTTATTTACTTTCTAGTGGGGTGCTCTTCTTTACCAGCCTGTATATGATTATATGTCTTCTGCTGATATCTACTTTACTGCGCTGTCCCTTTGCTTTGGAATAGGTTAGTGACCCTGAAGATTAGATCCAAACCTGTTGGTGGTCACTTGGGCCCAGTATTTCAAAAAACCTTTAATCTAGATCAGAAGATAGGGTTATCTCAAAATTGGGTATTTCAAAACAGGATATGTGATCCTGATCCTACAAAACTGGGAAACTGAAAAAATATTGTTAACTTACAAGCTAGAGTCAAATAAAAAAGGACAGGAAATGTCTTTAGTTTTAGTCAATTTGGTCAAATTGGTCAACAACAATCACGAGGAGATATTGGTTATTATTGAGACTGGGATGTCCTCGTAAACAAACAGTTCTTAACTACCAGCTTAAAGGTAGGTAACTTTTAAAAAATAATATGTGAAAAAAAAAATCAGGTTCCTCTGGCTCCTCCTAGTGCCTAATAGCATTTAAGAACACACAGAATGAAAACAACCAATGAGAGCTCAGATGGATGGAAAGACACTTTGGACAGATGGCTTGAAGATAGCAGATTGTTGAGTCTCATTCCCAGGGTCGATATTTGACAACCTGGGGTAGAGACTCAACTATCATCTATCTTAGCTCTGATTGGTTGTTTTCATACAGGCCCGGTGGGTTCTTGCAAATACCATTAGGAGCCCTAGGAGGAGCCAGAGGAACCTGATTTTTTTTTTACAGATTATCTCATGTACTACTGTCAGGACATAGTGAAAGTTTCAGTAAATATGACAGAAAGTTATTTTAATAAAAGTGACCTACTGCAGCTTTAATGTTTAAAAAACCGTGAACTTGGCGTCGTGTCGTGACCTCACACCACCTCTCGGCTGTTCTAGAAACATGGCCTGTTCATACTGTTTACTACTTCAACTGACCTGTCCTCTGAATCCATCCGACTCAGCGGCTCTCCATCCGACGAGGTCAGCTCCACGCTGGCCCGCCTCTTAGTGCCATGCTCGGCTTTCTCCGCGGTCTTTGTGCGCTCTGCGGGCGGCGAGGAGGAGGACACGTTCTCCCCCTCTCTTTGTTCTTGTTTCAGCACCCGGGAGCCCTCTTGTGCGGAATCAGTGCTACTCGCCAAACTACCCTGCACGGGACTTTTCCCCGGTTCAGAGAGTTCACCGCCGGGTTCCCCTTCGCCGTCGTCTGCTTTTACAGTCGGTATCGTTGTTTCTTTGTCGGAGTCGGGGGCGGGAGAGGGGCTGTCCCCGTGCTGCTCCGCCGCCGCACCGCGACCACTGTTCACGTCCATTCCTGTTCTCTTCTCGTTGTTGTCGCCCGGTTTCTGTTTGGGGTCCGGCACGGCCTGTCCCTCCTTGCCGGTTTCCGCTGTTTCACCGGTGCCGTTTTGGTCCGACGTCGGCTGAGAATCTTGTTCGGCCCCTTCGCTCGGTATTTGAGCCATTTTCCGACAGCACGAGAAGCTATTTTTGTGATGTTCCACTCGAAAAGTTGCCCCCGGGCTGCCCTTCTTCCTCCACTCACACTCTCCGCTTCAAGCGTAAAACACAGCAGGGGGTTGCAGTGACGTCGGGCTCCGCATGGGCAAAGCTCGCCTCTTGGGAAGAATGTCTCACTCCGTACTTCAGAATCAGAAATATTTTTTTGGTCGGGGGGAGGGGGCAACTGATCCTTGAGCAACTGGTTGGTTACAGTAGACATTAGAGAAATAGTAATAAAAATAAAATAGGTATTATATTGCAATATCTAACAACATCATATATAGATATACACATATATAGAAACAATAAAAAAGATATAATAGGAGTTTGACCTATGTACATTATAAAACAATATATGAATAAATATAGAAGACAGAATTATATGTATGCTACAGTATATGACACAAGTTTAATGAATAATGAAAAAATAGTAATAATAGCTGAATCCTTAACCCCACACTAACCCAGCAACAACTTTGATACTGAATTAACAGAAATAATGTAGGTCATTACTGTTTTCAGCCTCTATAACAATAGGTCACCAAAACTTAACAGGGAGTCGTGAGGCCTTCTTGATTTTAAGCTGGGTTAGAAAACTTAAAAATATATACACAGTAGAGCTATAATCTTAGCATTTGATTCACTTCTGTGAAGAAAAGAAAATGTTAATTGTCTAACAGAACAATGGCCAAGGATCAGGGAGAAGAAACCACTTAATTTGACAAAAAAAAGAAGTCTAGCAAGTATGTAGGATTATTAAAAATGATAAACAAATGTACATAATACAGACAGATAATTGTACAAAAAGTTCCCTAAAGAGGAAATCATTTGCCCAAAATTCATTGAATCACACCATCAGTTTACTCAATGATAGAAAAGGGGTCCCTTAAGAAAAAAGGTTGGGAACCATTGGTCTGAAATATGGAGATTTTTTAGCTTTTCTCTGTCTGATATCATATGAAACTGAATATCTTTGGGTTTTAGACAAGACATATTAAGACATCACCTTGGACTTCTAGAAACTGCAATGGACATTGTTCACTATTAGCCATTAATCAATTAATCTAGAAAACAATTGGCATACTAATCAATAGTAGTGGGTTGCAGCTGTATATCAGTGTAATGTGAAGATATATATATATACAAAGTTCAATATTGCAAATTAAAATCTAAAACTTAAAAGTTAATCCTTATCGAGCAAGAACCTTACTTTCATTTCATATTCAGCACACTTGATCTTCCATAAGATAGAACATCTCACAAAATAATAAAACATTTTTATTATTGCAAAAAGTAGCACCAACATAGCACCTCTAGGTGCGGAAGCCCTAAAGGGCCATGCATTCATACCGTTTTCCCGTGATAACGAGTTA